CTCCTATATTTTATATTTTATATTTTATATTTTATATTTTATATTTTATATTTTATATTTTATATTTTATATTTTATATTTATAATTTATATTTTATATTTATAATTTATATTTAATATGTATCATTTATATGTAATATTTATAATTTATATTTAATATTTATCATTTATATTTCATATTTATCATTTATATTTCATATTTATCATTTATATTTCATATTTATAATTTATATTTTATATTTATATTGTATATATATTTTATATTTTATAATTATATTTTATATTTTAAATTTCTAATTTATGTTTTGTATTTATACTTTATATTTATTTTATATTTTATATTTAATATTTATAATTTATGCTTTTTATTTATATTTTATACTTTATGTTTATATTTTATATTTATAATTTATGTTTAATATTTATATTTTATGTTTATATTTTATATTTATATTTTATGTTTATATTTTATATTTATAATTTATGCTTTATATTTATATTTTATAATTTATGTTTTATATTTCTAATTTATATTTATTTTATATTTTATATTTATATTTTATATTTATATTTTATATTTTATATTTTATATTTATATTTATATTTATATTTATATTTATATTTTATATTTTATATTTTATATTTATATTTTTATTTTATATTTATATTTTATATTTATATTTTATAGTTCTAATTTATGTTTTATATTTCCAATTTATGTTTTATAGTATATAATATAATTTATAATATATTAATGCTATGTACTATATCATTATTATATAAATTATTATATTATATAATGTTATTATATAATTATATTATTATAATAAATACATATAATATTATCATATTATATTATAAAATTATATATAATTAATGTATATTATATAATATATATTATATACTATATTATACACACAAAGAAACATATAATATATATTTTATATTACATATAATTTTAATTATATAATACATATATATAAAATTTCTAATTTAAATTTCTAATTTATATTTTATATTTTTAATTTATAGTATATAATATAATTTATAATATATTAATACTATATATTAGAATATATCAATATTATATAAATTATTGTATTATATATTATATAATTATATTATTATAATAAATACATTATATTATATAGTATATAATTATATGATTATAATAAATACATTATATTATATTATCATATTATATTATAAAATTATAAATATATAATATATAATACATTCATATATAAATGTATATTATATAATATATATTATATACTATATTATATACACAAATAAATCTATAATATCTATTTTATATTATATATAATTTAATTTATAATTATAATTATTATATTATAAATATTATAGTATTTAATTTATAATTATATAATTATAATTATTATATTATAAATATTATAGTATTTAATTTATAATTATATAATTATAATACACATATAAAATTTATCATTTATAATTTATATTTATATTTTATATCTCCACTCTAATTCCGAGGAGAATTCAGAGGATGGTGGGAGGTGGGATGGACCCCTGGGAACGCAGCCTGGCTCTCCAGGGCTGTTTGCAGGGAGCGGGGTTGGTGACAGGGGCCAGACCCCCACGGGGTCCTGGAGCTGGTGCCACCCTGCTCTTTATTTTATCCCAACTCAGTTTTCCTTTCCCTGCAGCTCTGGCTCCTTCCTGCTCCAGGGCTGTAACAGTCAGAAAACTCCGGAGCTTCAGGACTAACCCTGGGATCCTGTGAAACCAGGACTGATCATCAAAAACAGCAGCAAAGAGGGAGAAAAATCCAGAGTGGCTCCTTTCCCACGCAGTGAAATGTGAAATCCTCTCTCCCAGGTATCAGCTCATTCCCGGCATTTCCTTACTCCTGATTATCACCCAGGCACCTTGGGGAGCCCCATCTGCCGTCAGCCACAGCCCAGAGCCCGCCAGGCTGACTTACAGCACGAGTGTCTTCCCCTGGGTGAGCTGCAGGCAGGCCAGCACGGACTGAGCCCCTCTCCTCTGCTCCAGAATCCTGCAGCACTCCGTTCTCAGGTTCCCTCTGCCGGGAGAGAGAACCGACAAGTGCTCCTGGAATGACAGCTCCATCCCGGGGCCAGCGGTGTGGGAAGGGGTGGGGATGGAGCTGCTGCCTTCTCTCAGGCTGCTGGTGAGACCGGGGGGGCTGGATGGACCTAAAAGTGCTGCTTTTAGGGTGTCTCGCCCTCTGCTCACTGTCCTGCCCCAAAAGGAGTGGGTGGGGCAGCGAAATCCAGCATGGAATTATGGAATGGTTTGGGTGGGAAGGGACATTAAAGCTCATCTCACTGGGCAGGAACACTTCTGATAGATGCACACAGTGATGATGATGATGATAATAATAATAATAATAGTAATAATAACAATAAATAATAATAATTCTGCTCTTTTCCTCAGCCTCTCTTAAATTGAAAAAGTGACCCAAAAGGAACAAAAGAGGACAGGAGCATCCTCACAACACCGAGGAGTTTTTCCCCCATGGGGACACACTGCCCCTCCGTCCCCCTGGTCCCTCACCAGCTGGAAAAGCCTCAAGGGCACCCTCCTCCCCCTGGGCAGGGCGGTGTCCCCGTGTGCCCTGCCCCAGCAGTGGCCCTGGCACTCACATCACCCACTGGAGGCCCCTGGCCAGCAGCTCCCGGCCCCTCCGCAGCGCCTGCCCCACGCGCAGGGTCTGGTGAGCGGCACCCACGGCGCTCTGCAAGGCAAAGGGCACGGCCAGAGCCCGTGCCAGGCACTGGGCACCGCCAGCACCCTGCCAGGGGCTGCCCCTGGCCCCCACACCCACCTTGGCTGCGCTGCAGTCGGCCACCACGTCCACCCTGGGCACCAGCTTGGGGAAGTCCAGCGCCGCTGGAAAGACAGGCAGGGTCGGGGTGTTTTGTCTGTGCGCAGCTCCCACCCACCAGATAAACCCTGTGGGCACTCAGGGTTTCAGCCTCAGCGCTGGAGGCTCAGTGCAGCCCTCCGAGGTGTTTTGGGAGCATGGAAGGACCAGGAATTCCCTGCAGAGCCCAGGGTGGTGCGTGGCCATGGAGCAGCAGCACGTGGCAGGGGAAAACTGAGCCTGAAATGCCCTAATCCACCTCCTGCCCTGCTCCAGGGTGCAGAAACAGGGCTGGGAGCTGCCACTGGGAACTGCCACTGGGAACTGCCACTGGGAACTGCCACTGGGAGCTGCCACTGGGAACTGCCACTGGGAACTGGCATCAGGACTGGGAGCTGCCACTGGGAACTGGCATCAGGACTGGGAGCTGGCACTGGGAACTGGCACTGGGAACTGGCACTGGGACGGGGCGCTGGG